AAGCCTCCAGAATTAAATAACTTGTCTAAAGATATCCTACAAGAAATATCCATGGACAAACGCTGCAAAATAGTGATCGTTATTTGGAACCCAATGGCTACCCTGCTTACATCCCTGGGTTAGCTTTTATTGGTCTCTCCATCAATACCTATGGCCGATTTGGGTTGATAGTTGGGAACCCCAATCATGGTGAATGTGAGGTGCCTGGGGAGTTCCCCGGGGAGAATTTGATTCAGTGGATATGAATGCAGCATCTTTCTACGGTGTTAAAGACTCAGTCCTGCCTGCTGGAGCCACTGACTTCAGACAGATATCTTGGTACCCTCCTACATGCAGAGCGTTGGTCACACAGTGAGACTGACAGCAATGGCACAGGCAGCTCAAACAAATCTTTGTTTATCCCTGCACACGTGTGGTTGAGGGTCAGTGAACAAGGGAAAGGGAAGGAAGGGTTGTTTCTAGACTCCTGTCTCACTCCTTGCTTCAAGGAAAATGTCCAAGGGTAAGGATTTTTTTCCCAAGCTCTCCCTGGTACACAGAGAAGGATGTGGGCAGGACGCATCTCTCTAGAGGAACATGTGCTTATTGCCCATGATTATTTTTACTGCTATGCAAAAAGACCCTTCTCTGAAGCAAAGAAGGAGGGAATCTTGGGAACTGTCTTTTATTTCTAAGGACATACTATTTCCAGTCTCCTCATACTTTTAAAAAGATTGGATGGTAGATAGAGTGAGCTTTAAAATTGTCAATTGCAAACACATAACTCAATATCAGAAAGCCTTTGATGGGGGAACCCAGTTAGTGCTTTTGCTCATTTCTCTGTCTTTCTCTGTACCTCTTTCTGAGCATAATTACCTACCTATCGATGTCCTATGCATGGTCAGCCATCTACTGACATTGGAGCCCACCTGGCATGAGGGGCTATAACAAATCACAGATACAGTGTCCAAAAGCCATCATGATTCAAGGCTCTGAACTAGAGTGTCTTGAGATGAATAAAAAGTGTTCACTTTGCAAGCCAAGGAAGGAGTTGAGAAGCTTTGGCACACATAGTTACTGAGAGACACAACTGTACCAAAAGCTAGCCACAATTCAGCTCTTTCATAGTTTATAAGATCATTTTGTGACATGAAACAGGGAGGCAGTTGGCAGAGAACATGCTGACAGCCTCAAAGACCATCAATTTTTGATGTCTTATGCCCTGCAAATATTAGGAATGGTGACCTTTTATCCTTCCTACCAAGTGACATTTCTGAAAATGTTCTTCATTTTGATGACTTTTCTAGGGCTGGACCTGAGTCAGTCAAACAAGTGACTTCCCAACACAAGGCAAGGGCTAACTTTATGAGTATGCAACCAGAGCCTAAGTCCTACACTGAAAGGGTTCTGTGTTTGATGTTCTTCTGTGGCTGCCTGAAATTCTTAACAATGTTATCATCAAACTTACATTTTTAAGTGAAACAAGATGGTACAACTGAGCATGCATGTGAGCAGAGCATACTGCACGGCCCCTGCCACTCCTCACATCCGTATTTACAAATAGCATCTACAATGCCCAGTGAACAAAGAATTCCGGTGGGCTCAAGGCCTTGGAGTTCAATAAGTTTAGGTGATTACCGGGCAAATGTGTTACGTCGATGACTAGGTAAGATGGGGCACATATAGGCCATGTTTTCTGTCTGAATCAGAATGAACTTTGAACAAACAAGGAAAGTGAGGGCATCTTATAAGACCCTGATGAGAAGGAGCCCTTTCATATTCTTTCTTACTTTGTACTGCGTGCATTGTACCACAAGGGCTTTTGCTGACAATGACGACACAGGAAGGAAGGGACGGGCAGCTCATAGCTCATTTTGCTTTCGTTTTTCCTTATTCATCAGAAAAACCGAGAGATACAGGTTTGAAAAACTAAAATAAAAACAACTGAGTTCATTTTGTGCATCATTTCCATTATTCCAGCAAAAACAGAGCACACTTGAATGGATGAGTTCTGAAATATGGCTTCCATGATTTTGAGAATCCTTCCTATAAGTTAGTTAGCTGCTCTTATATTTGCATTTCAAATCAGCATGGTGGTGAATTTATTGTTAATGATCGGAATTGTAATCTTTTAAAAATTTAGAATGATACGAAATAGAACACTAAAAAACACCATGCCAAATCCAGCGAGTCTGTAGAAGAAAGGAAAAGGCTTTGTATTTTAATACCTTTTCAGACATTTGATTCATGCCCTTTAAACTCAGAGCCCCACATTTTCTCTTTGCAGTGGGACCAGCAAACTCTACAGCTGGCCCTGCTGAGGATCTAAGGAGGTGCATAGGTTCACAGTGCAGAGCCTGCATCTGCTCCAAGGACAGTGTCAGGGGAAGACTCTATCTGAAGCTCAGCTCTTTCAAAGGGAGGGTGGCTGAAGGCACAGGATCACAACCTGACAAAAACCAAGGCTCCCCTGGAGCTCCTCTTTTATCCTAATTGGTCTGGCAGGTTGGTTTTGGAAGGGCAGTCTTGCAACCCTCACTTCTATCTTTACACACTTCCCGCTCACTGCTGTCCACCCATGTAGGGATCACCATTAACATAATCGCAGAGGTGACAGGCTTTAAAGAGATTCTGGGGGAACAGAGTGGCAGCGGGCCTTTTTCAAATAAATATATAATAAAATAAGCAAATGTGGATGTATTTTTTCATAGAATAACACATTGAGATTGTGATGACCTATTTGACCCTAGTTAAAAATAAAATAAAGCAGAAAGCTCATATATAAAGAGTAAAAAGACTTCTGAAGCCACAGGCCTGGTGATCTGTCTGTTTTGACATAGACAAAAGGGCTAGGGAGGTTTTCAAAGGCCAGAAATAAAATTACCTTTGAAGATGGAGTACATACAAATGAGTCACTCAATTCTCAAAGTACAGATTAGCTAAATGGAACATACCTTGTGTCTTCAATTATCATTAGGCAGTTGTGAGAATTTAACAAAGGTCTGGGTATGGCTAAACTCACAGTTTGGATTAAGGCAGGATTTACAATTAGAAAGAGTTTTAAAAAAAATTCCAATTTAGTGAACTATCAATCTGATAAAATCAGGAAAGGAGGAACAATAAACAGCTTAAAGATTCTAACTAACAATCGTATATCAATTTACCAAGCAGAAAAGGGCAGACTCTTGAGGATTAGTTATGAAAAGTCAGGGAAAGGAATAAATAGCTACTGTAATTAAATTGTGTGTTTTTTTTTCTCAGAGTGACAGCTCAGGCAAGCTGCTCTAAGATGAAGTGGATGCTATCTTTTTACATTGGACTTCCATCATGTTCCCTTTCAATCATCTCTCCTCCTCCTCCTCCTCCTCTCTTCTTCTTCTTCCTTTTCTTCTCCTCCCCCTCCTCCTCTTCCTCATCCTCTTCCCCTTTTTTCTCCTCTTCTTCTCCCCCCCCCACCCTCCTCCTGGTCCTCCTCCCCTCATCTGCTGGTCCATTTCCAGGCCCTGTCCATCACAGCAATAAACTTCTCTGGTTTATTGTTCATAAACTTCAGGCTGGCTAAAAACTATTTTGGGTTTCTTACTCAAATCAGATTTTAACTTTGATTTTCTCAAAGTTGATAGGTTAGTCCAGTGGCCTGTTGTGTCAACAGTACCCTAGAAAAAAATTAATCATGAAAGCCATACAAAAGGTCAAAAGGAAGAAATTGAAAATGCTATAACAAAGAAAGCACAGAGCCGGTTATGCAGGTTTCCAAGGCTTTTTAATTCAAATGCAGAAGTATGAAAAGAAAAGTAAGATGATATTAACTAATTGTGGTTGCTGGGAGGGGTGACATAAGACATTAGCAGAACAAAGAAACCCATTTCATTAACTGGTGATGACCTAGTGTTCTCTAAAGAAGCTGAAAGAGAAACCACGGCAAAGGTAGCAAAGGAATTTCTGTCAACACATTTTTTTTAATGTTAGATGAAAATGCAAACAATCATTACTTCAGCACCAAAGAATTAGAATCTCTAAACTTCCAACAGAGTATGAAGGTAGCATTCCTTTCACAAGATGTCAGAATAAGGCAGGGCAACGAAAACTGAGAGCAGTGCTAGGACTTTTTTTTTTCTGTTCTCTTCCACCATCCTATGCTAGTTGTTAGTGATGTCACTGGGAACTCACGGAAGCCACAGGTTGCATTATGGGTATCTTGGCAAGGGGATAATGTGGGGATGTTTCACATGGTGGGTGCCTGAATATATTCATAGATAAGGTCTTCATGGTTTTAGAGGTTAAGAGAAACATTGTAGAAAATGCTGGTAGAGCTTTCTAGAACTGATAATACATTTGGCATTGGCCCCTGAGTCTATTTGTCTTCCATTAAACAACAAGTTGGCTTAAGAAATCCATGTGATTCTTATCCAGAGTTCTTATTATGCTTTCAAAGGTCCAAAAGAGAAAACGAGAATAAAACCTTAACCACAAAAGTAAACACGAGAAGATGAAAACCTGAACAAATAATCAAGATAACAATATATAATTCATATGACCCAACATATAAATAATGTAAGAATATGAAAGGTTAATCTTTAAAGTAACAACAACAAAACTGGAGATAGCTTTTATTACACCTCCCTAATCAAATATTTTTGGTGGCAGCCCAGGTCCTCAGAAAAATCTGTGTTAGTTATCTATTCCTATGTAACAAATTACCAACAATGTGGTCTGGTGGCTGGAAACGACACACATTTATTATCTTTTAGTTTTATTTATCTTCCTTGAGCCCGGGTTAGGAGTCTAGAGAGGGCTTAGCTCCTCCTCTGAGCAGGATATTCTATTTTTTATATAAACCAACCTCTTCCCTAAATTCTTTCTTAAAAAGTCTCCATTTGTCTAAAGCCTAGCCAAGATTCATGTGAAATATGTGCTGCATTCTTCTTAGAAGTATAACATTGTGCTAATCCATCTCATAAAATGGGTTGATTTTGTCCATTCATCTCTGGTACATTTCAGAGTAATCATCCTTAAGATGCGCTGGCTGCTACTCAAAGACACCTCCCAAGACCAGTGGTCCATAGGCTGATTGACTCCCATCTTCAGGTTAGTTCCTTGATTCATTACTTCTTTCTTCTCCTTCGGATTTCAGCTGTACACCCTTTCTTCCACTTGATGCAGATACCCATCTGTATCGGTTGTCATATGATTCATTTTTGAAACACTTACTTCTGCCTTCACCTGTTGCAAACTGTCTGCCATTGAATCCCTTTCCTTGCACTGATCTGTTCAGTTCTTACTCTCAACTGGTTCATTTTCTCCGGAAGTGCCCTCACTTTGCAGTACCAGAATCATGTTATACCAGAGGATTCATTTCTGTGCAAATCATCAGGCTTCAGTCTAGGAATGGATATAAATAGGGCTGGACTAGGCCTCAGGAATTTCTACTTTCTTTCAAGCATTGTAGGGATCTCTGATGCAGATAATCCATAATCATATTCTGAGAAACAAAGTTTCTAGTCAACCTGCCATTCTAATTTCAAACCTTTACCAGTTTCTTACATTTTTCTTTTTCACTCTAGTCTCAATCTCAGCAGATCTGTCTCTGTCCTGTGTTCTGGAAACTTTTATATTTCAACTACCTAGGAGGCTGATGGAAATCCTAATATGAGCTCACTTCCTATGCCAACTTAATCAAATCTTGTTTTAGAGTTAATTTTTAATGAGGATATAATTACATAGAGTAAATGCACAGATATTAGGTACCCAATTCAATGAATATTGACAAATATATTTGAGTAGCCAACACTGTAATCAAGATATAGAACATTTACATGATGCTTCCTCTTGTCCTTTCTGAAAAACGCCTCTCCCTTCCCAGAAGCAACCACTTTCATTTCTTTCAACAGAGATTATTTTTTGCCTAATCATTTTTTATTCATTGAGTTTAGTGATAGATTTTAGGTACACAATATGATGACACTCATCATTGGGAATCTGTACCTTTACATGATATATCTTGGTTCTTATTTTTTTCCACATTCCCCTATCCTCAAATCAAACTTCCACTCCTCCCTTTTTACAAAAACTTTGTTTTTGTTTTTTCCTTTTCTCATATTTAGTCCTTTCCCTTTTCTTTCCCCTAAGCCTCCCACTTCCCCTTCCCTTTCGACTTTTTATTCCTATTTCACATTATCTTTATACATTTTGACCCTTATTTACACTTTCAGTTTCTCACACCAGAGAAATAATTTGGACACATGTGTGTCCTATTTATTTCATTTAAGAGTATGGGCTCACTGTGCATCCATTTAGTGATAAATGTCTCTAGTTTTTCATTCTATATGGCTGAGTAGTACTCCATTTTATAAAAAAACCACAATTTTAATCCAGTCTGTAATTGATGGGCAATTAGACTACTTTCAAGATTTAGCTATTACAAACTGTGCCTCTATAAACATGGGTGCACATATATCGCTGTGTTATGATTCTTTTAAATATTTTGGAAAGATACCCAGCAGGGGAATAGCTGGGTCAAATGGGACTTCTAAGCCTAGTTCTTTGAGGTAGCTCCACATTGATTTCCACGGTGATTCACCCGTCTGCACTCTCACCAGCACTGGAGCAGGGTTCCTCTTTCCCCACAGCCCTGCCAGCATTTGTTATTGGTTGATTTCATGATAGCAGCCATTCTTTCTGGTGTAAGGTGAAATCTCAGTGTTGTTTTCTCTGCACCTTTTGAATGAGCAGTGATGTTGAACATTTTTTCATATGTTTATTTGCCATTTCTACTTCTTTGAAAACTGTTCATTTCAGATGCCCATTTTTGGATTGGATCTTTAAATTTGGGCGGTCTGATTTTTTTCACTTCTTTATATATTCTAGATTGTAGACCTTTGTCTGAGGAACAGCTGGTGAAAAGTTTTTCCCACATTCTGGGTTGTCTTCACACTACTGCTTGTTTCTCTTGCTGTGCAGAAGCTTTTTAATAAGAAGACATCCCACTTGTTGATTGTTTGTACTAGTTTATAGGCAACTGAGGTTTTGTTCATGAAATCTTCTCCTACACCAATGTCTTCAATTCTACCTAGCCTCTCTTCTAGCCAATTTAATGTTTGTTTTAATATTTAGATCATTAATCCATTTATTTCAATTTTAGTTTAGTGTACGGTGAGAGACATAAGTCTAGTTTTAATCTTTGGCAAATTGAAACCCATTTTTTTTTTGCAGCACCATTTATTAAAGAGGCTATCTTTCCTCCAGTGAGAGTGTTTGGCTCCTTTGTCAAAGATGAGGTGGTTGAATGTGTCTGTTCCACTGATCCTCAGGCCTGTTTCTTTGCCAGTACCATGGTGTTTTTATCACAGTAGCTTTGCAGGAGTGTTTCAAGTTGGGGATTGTGATGCCCCCTACCTTGTCTTCTTTGTCTAGAACTGCTTTTGCTATTCTAGGTCTCTTCTTGTTTCAAATGAATTTTTGGATTGTGTTTTCAAGGTCTGTGAAGTATGCTGCTGGGATGTCAGTTGGGAATCTATGTAGTAGTTTTGGAAGTGTGACTATTTTCACTATGTTCATTCTTCCTACCCAGGAGCAAGGATGTTTTCGTTTTCTGATATCCTCTTCAATCTGTTTTTTAAGAGTAGTTTTCAGAGTAGAGGTCTTTGATTTCTTTTGTTAGGTTGATTCCAAAGAATTTTATTTATTTATTTATTGGATGCTATTGTAAAAGGAGTTGTTTCTCCAGTTCCTCTCTCAGTGAGTCTGTTGTTCCTATATGGGAAGGTTATTGATTTTTGTGTGTTGACCTTGTATCTAGCTACTCTACTGAATTGGGTTAAAAAGTCTAGCAGACTTTTGGTGGAGTTCTTGGGGTTTTCTATGTAAAGTATCATGTTATCTGCAAATAATGACATTTTAACTTCTTCATTTCCTACCTTTATTCCTTTTATTCTTTCTCTTGTCTAAATCACTGTGGCTCTTTCCAGAACTATATTGAACAGGAGTGGTGATAGTGGTCATCCTTGTGAATTTCCTGATTTTAGCATGAAGGATTTCAGTTTCTGACAATTTAGTATAATAATGGCTATTGATTTTTCATACATGGAGTTTATCAGGTTGAGATAAAGACTGTCTTTTCCAATTTTCTGTAGTTTATATCATTAATGGGTGCTAGATTTTATCAAATGCTTTTTCTGCACCTATTGAGATAATCATATGGCTTTTGTCCTTGACTGTTAATGTAGTGTATTACATCCATTGATTTGTGTAGGTTGAACCATCCCCGCATCCCTGGAATAAACCCCATTTAGTCAGGGTGTATGATTTTCTTGATCTTCTGCACTCTGTTTTCCAATATCTTATTGAAGATTTTTAGATCTGTTATTCACTGGGAGATTACCCTATAGTTCTTTCTTAGTTGGGTCTTTCTCTCCTTTTGGGACCAAGGTGATGCATGCTTCCAGGAATGATATTGGGAGCATTATTTCTGTTTCAGTATCATTGGAGAGTTTAAACAGTAGTGTCAGTAGTTCTTCTCTAAATATCTTGTAGAATTCAGCAGTGAAGCCCTCAGGACCCAAGCTTTTCTTAGTTGGTAAGTTTTTAGTTACATTTTCAAATTTGTTGATTGATATTGGGTTGTTTAGAATTTTTAGGTCTTCTTCATTCAACTTTGGTAATTCACATATATATAGAAATCTGTTCATTTATTCTGTGTTTTCCATCTTATTGGCATATAAGTTTTTAAAGTAGGTATTGGTGATCCTCTGGATTTCTTCTGGGTCTGTTGTAATATCACCCTCTTCATTCCTAATTGCATGGATTTGTGCCTTTTATTTCCTTTTTTGGATAAGTTTGGATAAAGGTTTGTCAATTTTGTTTATTCTTTTGAAAAACCAACTCTTAGCTTCATTGATTATTTTGTATTGTTCTCTTAGTTTCCATTGCATTGATTTCTGTTCTGATCTTCATAACTTCCTCCCTTTTATGAGTTTTGGGGTTATCCTAGTCTTCTTTTTCTAGAAGCTTGAAGTTAGCATTAGGTTGAGTTTGCTCTGTTTTTCTACTATAAGTATTCACTACTATGAATTTTTTTCATAAGACTGCTTTCATTGCGTCCCGTAAATTCTGATATATTAGGATTTGCACTACCTCCTATTTCTACATTGACTACAATCAGTCTTATGTTATTCTTCTTCGCATTATCTAGCAGCTACTGGATTGCTTTCTCATGGTCCCTTGTTATTTTTAAGAAATATTTATTTTTCTGTCACTAATCACCATATTGTTCTCTATATCTGATAGTCTGTCCTCACACTGGCTCATTCTGCCATGTAAACTTTCAATGGAATTTTTAATCTCCTGGATATCTGTTTGCATCTGTTTTATGGATTCCATTTATTTCCCATGCTGGTATTCCTCAGGTCCTCTATTTTTTAAAATCTGTGTCTTCTGCTCTAGAGTTATTAATCATGCCTTTCACTATGGATACAATCTCTGTTGTTTTCTGAGAAATTAGTTTTGATTATATTTTTTTCCACATCCTCTTTCATTGCCAGTTCAGGGAGTCCAGGTGGTTGAGTATCAGATTGTTCCATCTCGTTGCCCCTTGGAGTTGCCTTTAGTGATCTGGAAGTCTGGTTTTGAGACATGTTTAGGTGTCTTCTCATTTCAACCAATGCTGTCTGCTGTGCCTTTATTGAGGTGACTCTTTGTCCTCTCATTGGGCTCCAATTCTCAACAAGCCTCAGAGAGGCCTCCTCTCTGCTGCTCACCACTGTACCAGTGCCTGGGTTGATAATGAAGGCCCTCTGGATCCTTGTGCTAGGCTGTTGTCAGGGTGGGCTTCTGAATGGTGTGTGCACACTTACTGATGGTGTCTGGATGGGATTCTGGCTGGGGTCTGAAGCCCTGTGCAGCTATTTTCCAGACAGGGTTGCACACTGAAGCCGCTGGTGGAGCCCTGGCTGGGGCCCGTCCACCTGTGTCACTGATATCTGGGTGGGCTTCTCATTTTTTGCCTAATCTTGATGGAGCCAAGTTAGAATTACATGAAGTGAACCCCCATGTTTCTGGCTTGTTTTGGTCAATATAAGATTCTTAAGATTTATCTATGCTGGACATCAGTATTCTTTAAATTAAAAAAATTATCAGTACATATTTACAGCACATAATGTTTATATTCTTCATGAGAAATTGGTATATGCCCATCACACATTTTAACCCTTTTTACCTCCCTCTGGCATCCTTTCTCTCTCCCTCCATCTCTTGGTGTCCTGCCCATTTGCAAAAAAATCTATCTCCCCATTTCCTATCTTTTATTTGAGAATTGGAATTTATTCTAACCATTGTCTACATTGACTCTGAATTGTGATAACTTGGGAGCCCTCAACAAATACCAGTGCTTATGTATGTCTTCAGTTTCTGATTTAATGGAACTAGGGTGGGATCTAGGCATTTGTATTTCTAAAAGAGTCCTAACTGACTCTAATCTTTTTTTCTGGAGTTGAGAACCTTTTATTAACCTCCAAGATAATAGAATTGTACCTCCAGATCATGCAGATCTTCCCTCATCTTTTTTTTTTAATCTCAAATAAATTGGCGAGTTTTCCTCTTTTCACTGGTGTCCCTGGCCTGATAATAGCTACTATTTTATGAATTTCTGATACACACAAATGAGTCAGTGATCGCCATGGTGGAATAAAAGGTGAGAACAACAAAATAAACCTTGGAGTACATTAGACCACACCTTTCATGCACGACATGCTGCTTCCCCACCCTTGTGCTCTTTTCGATGAGCCTGTCATGAGACTGTGATAAAAACCCAGAAGCAGAAGGTTTGCACAACATGATGAAATTATTGCCAAGGGGGAAAAAAAACCTACATAAACTCCCTAGCTTCATTTACTTTTACTTGATTTAAGAGATCACTAATTCCTGAGGGTAATACATTATCAGTTTCCCACTAGCTTTGCTGGGGTAACCCCTTTGTTACGTTAACAGTTACCTAGGTTACTTCTCAAGAACCTGAAACCAGCTTCTGCTAAAAGCATGAACTCTTCATGTGGGTTTAAAGATATGTGGGTAACTGTAATAGGATGAAAAGGCCTGGTATCTCTGCTTTCATGCTGTGCCTTTCCCCTCTGCTGCCTTAACTTTTGGGTCAGGTTCTGCTCAGCTCTGCATGCAGTTGTGTTGATTGTCACTTGGAGCAAGCACATGTTTTCTTCTACCCTACCCTTTTGCTCTTTTTCTTCATCCTCATCATAAAGCCTGGACTAAACTGTAAGGTCAGGATATTTTTGCAGGATGATGGTTTCAGTGGTCAGAGACTAGCTGGCCATCATAGCCCCATGACGAAAATCTTGCATAAGAAGCAGCACTTTGGAACTGACCTCTGGCCAGTGGAAAATTACTGGACATTAGCCCACCCAAGCAAATCAGTAAAAGTGCACCCTTAGCTTTGGGGAAAAACATGACTCTCCCATTCTTGATCTGTGCTGTTTTCTTTCAGCTGTAACCTTTCCACATGTACTGGCAACCCATGCCTGGTCTCTTTCTATTGTTTCCATGCCAATACACCCATCTCTGGTAACAAAGGTGTTAACCAGGATTCACACACTGTGATTCCACGGTCTTGCCTTCCAACTACTTAATGTCTCTTATCTTCAGATGAACCCCTTTCAATCCTTCCATTGCCATTGGCATATTTCCCTCAGTCTACAATAATGCAGTTTTCTTCTAAAGAATGAAATTTTTAAAACCTTCCTTTCACATGTCTACTCTCATGATACCTGTTTATTTCTTTCTTCCCATCTTTTCCAACATATTGTAGCTTCCCATTTTATCCTGAAACTCATCATACAAACAAGCTTTGGCCTCTGTCCTGTGATTGAGTGGTTTGAAGGTCATCAATGATTTCTTAATTACCTAATTCAATCTTCTCAATTTAGTTTTCATTGTGTTAAATTCTTGACTACTCTTTTCCCATATTTCTCTTTAGATATTCAACTGGCTGGACAGAGGCCAAGGGAGACAGCTTAGTTTCAACTAGTAACTAAAATTTAAAGAATTCAGTATTAATTAAAATAAATGAGGAGTAAGATTCTTAGTTTCAGTAATTGCATAATAATAATAGGCAATTGGTATTGCCTACTATGAACCTGTTTGAGGTGCTGTATATTCCCCCAAGAGAAGAATATGAGCTATTTTCTCTTGAAATGTAAACAATTTTGAGTGGGTGAGACACAAGTTAATAAAACTGTTGTAGCTTTAAAAATTATTAAAGTTTAAAAATCAATACATTCTACATTATTTGGTACAAAGTCTACAGGTAAAGTTAAATATTAAGATGAGAAGAAAAACATTTCTGGAAAAAAGTATGTATTTTTTTAAACCGTAAAGACATAAGACGCAAATCAGGTGGGATGGGAAGGTCAATCCAAACAGGTATTTGTAGCAGGAAAGATAGAGCTTGATTTCTTGATAGATTTCTCTATTTTCTGTCTTCTTTATTCTTCTTTAGTCTGTTTCCTTTAGTCTTTCCCTGCCTGTATTGGTCAACATTCACACTGTAATGATTCCTAAGTGTTATGGGTTAGATGTAGAATGTTTCCCAAAAGTCTCCTGTGGGCTTCGGATGCGGATTGATCACGAGGGAACTATATTCACTGGCGGTTTAATCCACTGATGAATGGATAGCTGACTGTGCTGTTAGGAAGTTGGGCCTGGTTGGAAGAGCCTGGGTGGAGGTGCGAGCTGGAATAGTGCACATCCCTCCTCACCTCCTCCCCTCACTCTTTCAGCTTCCTGGCCTCCATGATGTGAGCAGCTTTCCTCCACCAGACCATTCTGCTATGCCCTTCCTGCCAGTTGATGATGCACTGAATCCTCTAAAACCTGTGGACCAAAATAAGCCTCTCTGTCTTCAAGTCATACGAGTCAGGTATTGTGACTCAGCGACAAAGATAGACTAAAGCATCTAAATTATAGTGGGGCTGGCTCTGAAGATGGATGATCTAATCAATTGTCTGCCCAGTAATTTCCTAAGCTGTCCAGAAAAGCCCCTTTTCAAAGAAGAATCCATAATGACAAATCACTTAGAAAACATTAAAAAATCACCAAGTCATGTTCACAGAGCAGCATGGCAAGTGACTCACTTTGTCACTGCACGAGCACAGTTCCTCTTCCATGAAACCATCTTTAAGCTTCTGGATTTTTACAGCTAAGATCCCTTGAATCCCTTGGATTCGACCTTGGAGAGTGATTTGTCCAGCCACATTTTCCTAAGTGGACTCAAGGACACTTCCCATTTTCCAACTGAGTTGCTTTCATACTAAAACTCAGGCCTAAAGCTCTCATACCCTCTCCCTCTCAAAATCCATACTTTGACTTCTAGGATCACTGAGTGGTTTGGCCCCTGACATCAGGAGACCATGGCCAAAACTTTCCTAGCTTTTGTAAGCCCAGAAAGAGGTGAAGAGGGAGCACTTAGAACTGCAGTGCCTAGAACTGTGCCTGGCCACCTATGGCACCATGAACAACAGGGCAAATGGAGGAGGTACTGGAATAGCCTCCCTTGAGTTCCCTTCTTATCTCCAAGTGGAGAAGGATGCAGGGGGTGATGGCTAAAGTGCTGCCTTGAAAACGTACTGTACAGGCAGTATTATTCAGTCATGAAAAAAGGAATGAAGTGTTGATACAGTATGGATGTAACTCAGAAATACTGTATACTGAGTAGAAGGCACCAAATCGCTAAAAAAAGGAGAGCTATAGGAATCTGGAAGGCCTACTGTAGCTTACAGTATTGCCTAGTAGTGGAAATCAAAAGCTTGCTTTATTTAACCAGAACTTCTTTATTGAGCACTCTATTGTAAAGGAATTAGACAATAAGTCAACTATTTTTTTTTAAATCAAGATAAGCCATCTCATAAAAATGTTATTATATCAACTATATCCTTTTATGGCTAAAGTTACAAAAAGGTAGAACAGGGCTACAAAAAGCCAGGAATGGCAAGACGGCTACACTTAGAACACTGAAAATGTATTCCACGATGATCCAAAGTTTGGGTAATGACTGCCAGTAAAGACAGACACAGAATAGTCCATGTTCGGAACAACTATTTGTTCCTTTCTCAATAAGACACTGAAGAGAGGCTAAAACTTTCTAATATGTTATTTCTCTCTCTTGGCTCTGCTAACAGCAGCTCAATAATGAATGACTTTTGGGAGAACACTACTTCACTTTCCATGGGGAGCCTCACAGGACTTCGCAGAGTAGGAGATTCTAAGATGTCAGTGCTTCCTATATAGAGAGATTTTGTACCTACTGATCATCATCCAGATGAAATCCACCCCCGTTTCCAAGGAGAAACTGCCGCACATGACGGGTGACACCTGTGCTTCTTCAGGAGCTGTGAGTGAAGTGCTTTTCCACTGAGTGTCCAATTTAAAGAAGAAAGTGCATTTCTGCATCTGGGCATATTGTCCTTCATGTAGAGTTGTTAAAGGTTGACCTTAAAGTTCTAAATTTGAAGCTTAATATATACTGACATCATTTTCTAATGCATGTTGACACATATTATATCATATTATATTGTATCACTCTTTTTCTGTAGAGACTGTTTAAAATCTATGTTGGTTAGGATCCCCCCCTCCCCGCAAAGTACTAGGATGTAGGTGGGAATTTGGAGTTAGGGTAAAAAGTGATATTTACAGGCCAGCAGTAAAAGGTAAGAAAAGACTAGTTCATAGTAATCATCTTGTAGATGGGACCAGTTTAAGGTATTGGATCCCAGCACATTGTTTTCTCATGAAGCAAGGATTTCAATCAAGAGGCCAAGCTCTGCCCAGAATGGGGCACAGGGTAGAGTAGAGGACTCAGTGTGTCGGTTTTATACCAGCCTCTGCCATCCTGATCTTGGGCTTGTCATTTGCACATTTAGGAAGTGAAGCCATAACACTGAATTTTTAAAGCAAGTTCTTAAAAATTGGGATAAAAGACATATACACAAATGTAATAGCTTAGTCACACAGCTTATTCATCTTGTAATAATTACTCCCCAATAACCATTTACTCCTCATTCCCCCTCCAACTGCTGGCAACCACCACTTTCTAGGCGAATCACAATCACATTTGTCCTTTTATGGTTGCTTTATTCTGTTTAGCATTAAGACATCAGTTTTCATCCATACTGTACCACGTGTCAGAATGCCTTTCCTTTACAAAGGCTGAATAATATTCCATTATATTTATGTACTCCATTTTTATTCATTCACCGACTGACAGACTCTTGGTTGCTTCCATCTTTTTGGCTCTTTCGAACAATGCCACCATGAATATGGGTATCCAAACGTCTTTTTGCATGCCCATTTTTAATTCTTTGGAGTGCATACTCAAAAGTGGAATTGCTGGATTACAACTTAATTTTTAACTTTCAGAGGAGCTATTGTACTGTTTTCCACAGCACTTGCATGATTTTGCATTTCCAGGAATTAGATATTCTTAAATGTCCCCTTCCACATCTAAAGTTCTAGTACCCAACTCTTGTTTACCAATCATCTCTTTAGGTCGTTATCTCTTGACCTAGAAATCCTGTTCACCACAGGGAAAATGCTCAAATGATTTTTTATACCAGAACACCTTCTCTACTTTTTCCTCCAGACTTGGGCTACATGTACTCATAACATCCTGATTCACCAGTGTACCTCTCATTTATGATTTTTCTCTATGATATTAGTTCCTGAAAGCAGAGTTTATATGGATCAGTACTTGATTCAGAATAATCAAATGTTGAATGAATGTATGGATTGGAACAGAACAGGGTCAAATAGTCTCACTTGATGAAGTGGATAAAATAGTAAAACTGAAGAATAATTTGTCCGGTAATATGAAATACTTCCCTTGAGAGAGACTCAAACAGTAATACTAAGCATAACAATGGCGACTGCAGCGCTATCTTAATCATCTGCTGGGGTGGAATTTTTTTCACAGGGGCTGTGGTGAGAAACATCTGACAGCATTCTTGGTCCAGCTGGTTGGGGCTGCCAGAGGATGGACTGTACCAGGCTGTTCGATTTCTATCAGTACGAAGGTGAAGCCTGTTCACGCTCACAAGGCCGAGCAGAGTTGGCGGTAGAGGAAGAGACCTTTGTGGTCAAGAGCTAGGACCTTAGACTTGAAGATTAAGCTGACTTTCAGACAAGGAAAGAGCCGTTCCGGTCAGGTCCAAGAGGGCTTCTGGAGAGCACAGAGGAAAGCTCGTCCCACCCCCGCAGAAAAGTCCTCTGAAGCCAGGGCCGCCTCGGTAAGTTGTTTCCATCCCAGGCTAAACGAGAGGCTCAGGGTCGTAACCCTCCTGGCCAGCGCCCCCCTGCCAGGCTGCGTCCCTGGCAAACGCTCCCTCTGGGCCAGTTTTGCTTCATCCCGGAGAGAGGAAGTCCAAAGATCCCGGAGCGGAAGGCGCTCTCCCTGTGCCCAGTAGAAAGAGGACGAGGGCTCATCCCGCTGCTGTGCAAGGCGGGGATCCCGAGCGGACCGCTCCTCCCAGCGGTGCGGTTGGGACCCGCAGGTGGGCAGCGCTGAGCCAGAAAGCAGAGCCAGGCTGAGACCAAAACCGAGCCGGCTGCCAGGTGAGCTGCGGTGGGGAGGGGCAGGACGCGGGGGACCCTGAGTTTACCCGGGGGGAGGAGGACAGGGTGCCCCGAAGAAGCACCAGCCCCCTACAGTTTCTTGAGGCAGCAGGTGCTGGTTGCATCCTGGTGGGGGGAGGACAGGGAGGGAGGGAGGGAGAGAGGGAGAAATCCCAGATCTAGTACTAAATAACTGTATGGCATTTAGACTAATTAGTTAGCTTCTTTGATTCCTGGCTTCCTCAGCTATAAATTGGTCAATCCCAAATTCCTATTAAATTAAATTGAATA